CACGGACACAACAATAGCTTAAATGTATCCACTTACGAACGCGATGAAGTGATTCGGTTCACTTACCGGTTTAAATGTATCCAGTGAAACACTCCAGTTTCTTTAAGCCACTTCTACGCATCCGCCATCTTCAGCATTAGCTATGTTTGTTTAAATGGGAAACACTCCCAAAGCTTAAAGAAGCCTGCCCGAACCGTGCGCGCGGGGACTTCTGGGTACTGTAGTTGCGCCATCCGGCCGATCCGCGCATTCTACACAGAGCTAGAGAGAAAAGAAACTACAAATACATGAACCCCCGCAGATCGAAAAATAGACATCCAGTAGTAGATGGGCAGTAGTAGCAATATTGTAAAAAAAAAAATATATATATATAGTGCATTTATTTTTAGCTCATCCAAGGGCCACATAGAGATACAGGTCACGTATCCCTAATGAATAGGCTGAGCTACGCCTTTATTTACATAAATTGAGTGTGATGAATTCGTTGTCTTCGCGAGAGTTCGAATTATTTGTTTTGTAGCACACCTTTTTATTCATAATCTGTCAAATCAAATCACTTTATTGGCACTACAACATGTGCATAAGTCTCATACAACATGCGCATAAGTCTCATGCGGTCCACTAACATTGCAGCCACAGTATAAGTCAATGTACAAGAACACACTGCACAGTTTACACAGTCGAGATTTACACGTAATATACACACAAAGTTTACATTACACAATATACACGATGTACAAGCACTTGAACAGTTATGCTACTTGAAGTTATATGAATAAGTTGCAGAATGCTACTCAGTATGCACAATGTGATTTAGTTTGCAACCAATAGAGATACTGTGGTTATTTGTGTTGGAAAATATAGGCTATATTTTTGAGGCAAACAGGGAGGTAAACATCTATAATTTTATTTGTCATTACTAAGACATTATATTATGCATTGATTTGATTATGCATTGAAGTAAGCTGTTGTTTACATTGATGATACTTGCTAGGCAAATGGGTGACATACCGTGTGTTTTTGTATGGTTAGAAAGAAATATGTTCTTGTAAAGGTAAAAAAAAACACATCAAAATTAATTTTAAGCATGTAAATAGTAATTAATAATAAATTAAAATTAAAATAATACACAATATTTTCGAAACTGCTGCATGTGCAAAAGAAAAGCCTACAAAATAAAGGCTGCAATGTGCAATAAATATGACACAGCAAACTTTGATAGCATTACTGTAAATTATCAAAAGCATGTGAATCTATGACTGATATACATAATAGGCTCGCATTTTGTCATGCATATTTATATATTTAGATCTTCATGTAAAGAGAAATAAATGGTCAAAAAGGCATTTTAGGACACACTCATATTATTGTGGTCTGCAGAGGCTGCAAGTGCTCTGCCCTCTGAAGACCAGACCTGGAAGATAGCAATGAACTCGTCTCCATGGTGATCTCTGAGGCATACCAGTGTAGAATTTCAACTGTTGGAGAAGGAGACAGCGCTAAAGAGGGAGGGAGGGAAGGAAAAAGAGAGGGGAGGTAGGAACAGAGGGAGGGAGGGGGAGGGGAGGGGAGAGAGAAAGAGAGAGAGAGAGAGAGAGAGAGAGAGAGAGAGTGAGTAGTAATTAGCTCAATGCTTGCTGTTTCCTGTCATGATAGTTCCCTGCTATACAACCCTTGGTCTCATCTGGCCAAAAAACATAGATGTGAACCTGAAGCATTAAGCAATTTAGCCATAATAATCATTGAGCTCATATAGCTATAGAATATATTTTCAAATTTCCTTTGTGGACTTGTATGTATGTGCAAAGTTTAAGCAGATTTGTACTTTTTAAATCTTAATTTTAAATACTGAAGAATAATAATATGCCATACAAGATAAAACATTTCAGTTATGAGCATATTTGACCACAAAACTGAGAGTACCCCAATAACATTCTTCAGAAAGCCAGAAAGAGGCCCATAGACCTGTTGTTGTTCCCTCCCCCAATTCACAGCACAATCTGACTTCCCCCTTCCTAGAGTGTGAGATGGTTTACACCCCAACCCCCTCACTTTGTTTGTCCCCTTTGAAAGGACAGGAGATAGCAGTTTTTTTAAAGGACAGGAGATAGCCCCCAATCATCTGGATCTATAGATTCTCTACCTGCAAACATGCAGTCATGAACCTCTCGTTCGCCCATCCCCTCTCCAGATGAAGTGCTTTAAAGATTTACTAGGTTAAATCACCTCTTCAGGAATGTATGAATGAAGAGTGAGTAAAAAGCGTTCTGTTTAATTCAAGGTTAGGAAATTGTATCACTATGCTTGAAGCTCTTTAAAGGGAATGTTCACCTGGAAATAAGCATTCTGTCACCATTTACTCACCGGCAAACCTGTATTACTTTCTTTTTCTGTGGAACCTAGAAAAAGACATTTTGAAAAACGACTCAGTGTTGCTGTTGTTGTTTTGCCCGCACAATAGAAGTCAGTGGGTACTGAAGCAGTTTGGTTACAAAAATTCAAAAAAATATCTTCTTTTGTGTTCTGCCGGAAAAAAAAAGAAAGAAATGATAACAGATTTTTCATTTTTGGGTGAATTATCCCTTTAAGGCAATTGAGTGTTTAATAAAAGAGAGAAACGAAATGCTATATATATAGATATTACCTCTAGAGATCTTCCAGGTTGTTAATATAAAAAAAATAATAAATACATACAGTATATTTATGCATACAGTTTGGGGTACTGAAGCAGTTTGGTTACAAAAATTCAAAAAAATATCTTCTTTTGTGTTCTGCCGGAAAAAAAAGAAAGAAATGATAACAGATTTTTCATTTTTGGGTGAATTATCCCTTTAAGGCAATTGAGTGTTTAAAAAAAGAGAGAAACGAAATGCTATATATATAGATATTACCTCTAGAGATCTTCCAGGTTGTTAATATAAAAAAAATAATAAATACATACAGTATATTTATGCATACAGTTTTTATAACTAAACTGCATTTTAAACCTGTGACTCATGATATCTTAAGATACTGTAGATATGGAGCTGAATGAAATCAGTGTGCCTATGAAAAACTCTCCATATCATCAATATTTCTTTGACTTAAGATCTTGCATGCTGTGTGAGTGTGTTTCTGTGTCAGTATGTGTTTTGATTTATTAATGCAGCAGGGAGTCTCAGACAGCTGTCTTCAGCATAGATGACAACATGAGGAGCAGAAAGCTGAATAGTCTCCTCTAGTGGACATACTGCAACATGACCTACCAGGTCTCTGAATGTATGTTTTTAGTTGACAAAGGATTATGTTGTGCATTCTATTTAATGGTTTTGAATAATATAATTACAAGGGCTTTTGATTTGGCTAGCGCCATACATCAGAATATCTTCTTTTTTGCTCTACTCAAGACAGAAAGAGGTTTGGAATGACGTGTGAGTTAACGATGACAGAATTTTCATTTTTCTTGACGAACTATCCCTTCACGAATTAGTCATTGAACAGCCCATGTTGATTTACTGCTAATCTTGGGGTGAACCTGACCCCCTAATTTTCTTACAGTTTTGTCTAAGGAATTGGGCTAGTAACGAACCACCCAGAACACACCATAGCAACAACCCACAAAAAACCTGGCAACCTGGTATTGAGATTTGCATGGGCAAGAAAATGTAAAAATCTAAATGTGTAATATGGAGCATCTAGTCATGTTTGCATACTCATTGTAAAACTAGGAGTTTGCCTTGATTAAATGTGCATGTGTTGTTGGTTCATTTTAGAGGTTAAAACACAAAGTCTGGTTTTGTAAGGAGACAACAAGCGTGGGGTGTGTTTTGGCAGCTGACTCACTGCAAGGTGCTTCAGAACCTGTCTAACTTGAGTGGGTTTTAGATAAGCTGTGCCCAAGCCCCACCCCCTCAGATCTGTTGAAAACATATGGTCATGGCATTTTGAGTATAAGTTAAGGATTGAATACACTACATGACTTTTCAAATCTGAACAGCTTTTAAAACACTAGGCATCATACATTTACCCGACTGTAGAAAAGCTGGACATCATACACTAAACGACTGAGGATCACACACTACCAGACTGTTCAGTCATTCAGGACACGACAAATTTACACAGAAACGTGCATCGTCAGGAGACGCATGACAAATGATCTAAAACAGACTCAAAATATCAAACACGTTTGATATCCTCCTCTGACAGAACGGATTCATAATCTGAAGATGAAAAATCTGAGTCTGATATCTTAAAGCGTTGCTGGTCCCAATTGACTTGTGTTTTTTCCATGGAAATCATTGGGCACCAGCAATTGTTTCGTTGCCAAAATATTGTCTTTTATGTTCCACAAAAGAACGAAACTCATACAGGTTTGGAACAACTTGAAAGTGATTAAATGATGATAGAATTTTCATTTTGGGGGGAACTGTCCCTTTAAGGCGCTCTCTTTACTGTTCAAGTAGAAATCACTCTTAACACTAATGTACTTGAAGAAACAACTAGATAACCAGCTCAAGCTGTTAAAATGAAATTCTAGAAAATTTGTAGAATCAATGATGTGGTAAGAATTAGTGAATAATTCAGAGGTAATGAAGTAGTGAATGATTAGCAAATTTGTATAATATGTATCCAAATATATGTATTAAGGCTGAAAAACATAGATGAACTTAATATTTATCATTTAAGTTTGATTTTCCTCTCAGTAGAGAGTTTAATTTTAGCACTCAAGGCCTTGACTGTGTATAGTGATACCTTTTTACTACTTGTTTTAATTTAACGTAAAACGCCTTTAACAAGAGGTAAGTGACTGCAAGTAATTTAGCTCACTTTTAGCTGTACACATCAGGGCCTAGCTCCTTTTTCAGTTCACAATCCTGCCACAGCCTGTCTGTACTGAACAAAAGACGTTAACTCAGGAAACCCGTCAGCCAATCAGCGGCTGCCTTTCATCCTGCCTGTACAAACCGGCCAATCACAGAAATGCTTTCATAGCTGTTATCAGAATGTTGGCTTGGCTGGCTTGGAGAGCAGAGACTGCTGTGTAGAGAGAGAGAGGGAGGGCTGTCCTCCATGTTTTAATAAGCATTGACATTACCCACTGTTTTAAGCCATGCATCCACAGAGGTAAGAGATTTTTCATTGCTTATATGCTTTTTACACTACCTGTTCATGCTAATGGTTGCATTGTGTCATGCAGAAATACAGGATTTTCTGAGAGACAGGGGACAAAAACCTGTCCCAACACCAAAGAGCTGGATCCTGGCAGGCAGAGGCAACTCAGAAATCACACTCACACTGTGTTTTAGTCTCCAGGCTCGCATGGCTGGCCTGTGCTAACACTGTGACCAAAATGGCCTCTCCTGGTCTCTCTCCTAGTAATGTTTCTTTAAAGCCGGAGAGGAGCACAGTCGTGTGTCACAGGCCAGACCTCTCAAAATGGAAGGCCCTGAGGAGCAGACAGTACAGACTGTAAGAGAAAGCGCACATGTAGAATAGCAGAAAGATCGAGCAGCATTTTTGGCTCAGGTTGCAAGTTAAGGGAACACTTTTCAATGGCTGACATAATGCTGACTGTCCATTTTGCTCAGGATATAGGCCTAATTTGCAAACGCACACAGCAGAAAGCTTCTGCTGAAAGAGTTATTGGATTAGAAATAGAAGAGACTTTCTTTTCTATAAACAGATGCATATAGATGGTGAATTAGTCTTGTGTTTGCCTTTCTTGGTTAAATAGCTACAGGCTTCTGTCTGTTGACTCAGGTTGTAAAGACTCTGGACAGGCCAGGCATTTTATCAAAACTTAGTTGTGGTATGAGCTGGCAGCCATTTCAGACAGACTTCCGCTTTCGACTGTGCAACCACAAAGACTGTTTTTGTGTCTTGTGAATGCAAGCATTTTTTCTTAATGTGGCATACTTGATGTTACATTTGTAGCCAGCATTTCAAATATTTCTCTTGGATGGCAAGTCATTGGATACTGTATTTACTACAGCAGGGGTCTGATCAGAAGGTCAAAGCAGTGGACTAGTGGTGTTTTTCCACAACCATAATGTCAAACGGAGGCGTTTTTTTGTTGTTCTTGTTCTTAACTTGCTATAGCAGTCATCGTCAGTAAAATAACCTGCGCGTTTGACAGTTTGTCTGTTAACACAAGTGATTAAACCTGATTGTTTATCAGCTTCACCTGTCTGAATGACAGGATCAGGCACTTGCGAGTTCATGATATCTGTTTGAGATTATACTTCTAGAAATGTGATTTATTTATTTAACTGCTGAGATTTGAGGGGGATGGTTCAGTTTGGTTGTTTAAAAAAAGAGCAGAGGATTAATTACAACAGGGAGATATAAGAAAACAAATCATTTGAATTATAGGTAATAATTTAAAATCATCATTATTAGTTGTGGACAAATCAAAGTAACCTTTAATAAAAGTTGTAATATTCAAAAAAGTTTTTTCAAGGTTAAAAATACATATATTTAATAAAGGCTTTTTTGAAAATGTAATTATTTTTTTATTATTATTATAATTTTTTATTATTAATTAATTATATAATTAATAATTTTTTTTCTGCTTTTTTCTTCCATTTTTTCATTATGATATCAAGAATGTGCACATCTTTTAACATGCATGTGAATGAATCAATGGATCCAGGCTGGACAATGAGAATCCTTGACCCTATTACAAAATCACTGAGCAATTGAAATTATTTTTAGTGGGTACGTGAGCTCATTTTGGCAGCCGGCTGAGTGTAAGTCAGTCTTGAGCAGTTAAATGACAGCACATAAGGAGTATTCCCAAGCCCTGCAATTTACCACAACTCCAGTTACATTTTCCAGCCTTTTCTTTGTCTCTTGGTGTTCACAAGGCCCTTGCTGCATTCCTGCGAGCCGCTCATTTGTCAAATCTCCATTCGGCTCCTACTTAACAAAATGGTCGCCCTTCACCGTGACTGCAAGAAGGGGAGGAGAATAAAACCATCTGACATGATTGTCCGAACATCTACATCCCACGTTTATTCACACCGGTAGTTTTCAGGGTAGAATACGAGCATTTTCCCGGTGAATGGCAGCAGCAGCAGCAGCCCTCCCTGCATTGCAGCAGTGTATCAGAGCAGAGAGAGGGGAGCAGGGAGAGCCTGTGTGGCACACACAGCACCAGCCGCCCAATCGCGCGTCTCCGTGTGGCTCTCAAACCAATCGGCAGCACACAGCTGAGGTTAAAGATTGACAATCGCTCTGAGAGCAGCAGGGAGAGCAAGGCCCTTCTGGAAAATTCTGCACCTATCTTTGTCTCATCCCTCACTGCCTTTATATCTGAAAAAAAAACACATTTAAAAGGCTCAGCCTGAAGAATCTGTGTTCTGTGCCTGTAAAGAAAAAGGTATGCTGTTATTATATGTCAGTTTTTAGATGGACAGTCATACAATGCTAGTGTGACTGTGTGTTTTTGGGGAGGAAGCTTGTTTAAGGGTAAGGTTATAGGTGTATCTGTGATTGTATTTTGCCATTTTTAACTCATGTGTTCGGGTTGTTGTTTGCGTAAGAGGAACTGGATTCTGCTACGGGTGGGGAGTGGATGGTGCATGCAGGTTGGACGTGAGAAGGCCAAAAGATGGCAAGTGCTCAAGCTCTACAGATGTTTGCCTTGTGCATGATGCTCCCCATCTGCATCTCTGAAGGTTGGGGGTGCAGGACGGAGCAAGATATCACTGCCACATCAGGGCATTGCATTAGATAGACCTGGGAAATGTCAATAACAGTGTGATTCTCTGATCATCTTGAGGTTTGTTCGTGGAGGATGTTCTCTGTTCCTCTGTTCATGAACAAGACATGGCGGGTGGGTGGGTGTGTGTGTGATAATAACCCAGGCATCAGGAGAGAAAAGGAGCCTTTTTAAAACCGCTCAGGCTGCAAAATGATGGGAAACGTTATGTCGCTTGGAAGGTCTCAAGTCCAAGTGGCGCATCGAAATTGAAATTTCCACAGAGGTTCAGCATTGGCATCAAACGACACCTAATCTGATGAGTTATGGGCCATCGGTCTGATGTGCATATCATATTCAGATGGCATTTGTGTGTTTGAGATTTCTAATAGAAAGTTCTCTCTTGGCAGTGAGAGGAAACCATCTTGGCGCTACTTCAGGCAGTAATAAACTGCAAAATATAATTCTCTTACTCAGTATTTTTGTATTGTTTCAGTACAAACATTCTTAAGTTTAGATATTTATTTGAGAAGCAAAATGATATCTTGTTTTCTAAAGTAAAAATATCGAAATTTAAGTGAGTCTTTGCTTAAAACAAAAGAAATATCTGCCAGTAGGCTAAGAAAACTAATTTAGTTTTTCCTTTGAATTATCAAGTTAAAGGTTCTTACCCCATAGGTAGATATTTTTTCTCTTGTTTTAATCATACTTTTTTCAGAAAAGAAGACTTAATATCTTAGGTCATTTTGATTCTCAAGTAAATGTTTCTTGTTTTGAAGAAATGTTTAGATATTTTAGATAAAAAAATATAAATATAGATAAAGTAGGATTAAAATAGTATAGAAAGTGCTAGAGTTAGATGGTCAAATAAAGGTGGAACAGATGTCATTCCCTCTAAAGGTAAAAGCTAAATTTTAGTAAAGCGATTTCTTTTACCGAAAAGAATGGCATGAGAAATACATTTACATTTAGTCATTTAGCAGACGCTTTTATCCAAAG